ACGGGGTTTCACCATGTTGACCAGGATGGTCTCGATCTCTTGACCTCGTGATCCACCCGCCTCGGCCTCCCAAAGTGCTGGGATTACAGGCTTGAGCCACCGCGCCCGGCTGTAAGAATAACTTTTAAAAAGGTAGTTTAATTAATTTAAAAAAGCAACAATATCACTGATATTAGAATACCATTTTCCTAAATTTATGTTCTTTATTCATCTGCTTTATATTTTGCCTCATTTTATAGCATGGTATCCAGAATCTTCGGATTTTAGTTTTAGGCTACAAATTTGATCTAGTAAACAAAATATTACTTACCTTAATACAGATACCACAACCAATACAAAGAGTTTCAGAAATCCATGCTATTTTGCTTTGGGGTGTAACTTCTATGCATAATTTTCCTAGGTAAAGTAAAAGATATAATTAAGCCATTTCCCCGATCTTCTAATTTTCTGAACACTGTTATTTAAGCAATGCTGGTTCTAAATTTCCATACGGAAGCATATTTTCAAAAACTAAGGCCACAAAAGGAAATACATTTGAGATAGTCCCTTAAATCAGTGCTCTGTGGGGACAGAGTTCTAATCACTTATATGAATATCCTGGTTAGGCAACAGGGAGATGACTTTAATATCTATTTATTTTATTTAATTTACTACTGGTGAAGAAAATATGCCAGTAAAAATGTGGCAAATCCTGAAATACTTTTATTTTTAAGATAACCTAAATTTTAAATTCATAAAACAAAATATGCCTTGAAAACGGTAAGGCAAACCATGAAAAGAATGAACAATTGTAGCTAGATCAGTAAAACTCCAAAAAGATAATGTAGTCATCTAATACACAGGTAAAATTAAACACGTTATTAGGGATAACAGAATTTCTGAATGGCAAAGGAGACAATAACAGATGAGAACTAAAGTTTCTTCTAAGATTCAGTAAGTCTACGCTTCATTAGTACATTTACAATTACTTAACATAGCCCTTAAAGATTACCAATAATTTTTCAACTGAATTGTTGGAAGTTTATCTGATCTTCAAAATACAGCTAAACCTTATGAACAGTCATTCTTATTGAGCTCTTTGTTCTTGTTTTTTAAATATGAGAATCCTGTCAAAGTTTATTGTAACCCTTCCCCTATTAATTATAGGACTTTGTAGAATTCAAGATCAGTAAGTTGAACTCTGCTGAGTTCACATCCCATATACTTTTAAATACTGATATATTATTCTATGATTTGTTCTTTCTTTCTTTTTTTTTTTTTTTTTGAGACGGAGTTTCGCTCTTGTTACCCAGGCTGGAGTGCAATGGCGCGATCTCGGCTCACCTCATCCTCCGCCTCCTGGGTTCAGGCAATTCTCCTGC